CTGACCAGCTACTGCTAGCTGTTCTAGCTGCGTTGACCTCAACACGCAATGGATGCTTGACAACCTGAACGTCCAGTTTACAACCCCAACCGTGGTGTTCAGGGGCAGAAAGTCCCGTTGCATCTTCATTCCGGAAGTCCACTGCACAAGCATCGTTCGAAAATCATTGCTAGTCTTGTTTCTCGTAGTTTGGTTCTTCTTGCGATCTACTGCGAGGAGATGCCTACGAACATGCACCGATAAGGCTGGGACATGTCCGCAGAGGTTGTTGTTGCATTCCGACCACACGCCTGCCCACATTTCAGCGGCTGCATCCCTTTCAATTGCACTTCACCTTGAACACTGAATCTAGACCTGACACCATGACGTTGTGCGGAGAAAGCAGTTAAGACCACGGACATGTTGAAGGCTTGAACAACAACGTTTCCAACGGCCATCAGCTGTGAAAAACATCTGCTGCTCGACTCTGCATAAGGTTTCGGCCTGTGGGATTGAATATGTTTTCACGCCGCAGCTATCTGCCACCACCACGCAACCGTTCGTACAGATGCTGAAGATGCCCATTATCTGGTGCCAGAACAAGGCCTTAAGCACAAGTCGTTAGGTCCCGAAAAGTGCCATCTCCAAAGCTGCATGCTTCAAACCAAGTCGCCACAACTGGGCTATCACAGTGGTAATGCTCTAGGAGGAGTGGCTCTTGCGCTTGCAGCACTGGCTCGCCATTTGCAAGGCTCTTGATTCTTTGTCGTTCTTCCATGACCTCGAAGCAGGGCCCTCCGCCTGTTCTCCCATCAGGATCTCTACGGCAGTCCTACAACTCTCACTTGCGAGGCTCCGGACGAAAGCGAGCAGTCACACAAAAGGATGGCAGTGTTGTCCGCTGGGCTTAATATGTGACCCGAAGCAACGCTAAAGCTCCGATGGAGCTCGCTTTCATGATAGCAGCGGGTCTGCAGGAGAATCCGTATTGCTCACGAAATTTCAGCTAAGCAGCTTCGTCGAGCGTCAAGGTTTTTTCGCTGGATTCGCTGACGAAGTCTTCAGGAAAGAAGGTCTTGAAGATGGCAACACGTCCGCTCTCAAATCCCGCAAGGACCTCAGGAAAGAAGCCAAGGGACACCCACATAGCGCCAACAATATGGAATCACAATTGGAAACACCAAAAACGCTTTAAAATCACTCGTATGTGCTTTGCAGACCAGATGCCGTTTCCACTGCCAGGCTCCCGTCGTCCACAAGTCGGCGGCTGGGGAGGCACACGACCGTCGCCACATCTCCAACGCGGCGGGACGCGTCAAATCCCTGAATCTGGTGTAGCTGCTTTCGCTTGGAGCCATGCGAACGGAAGAGGTAGTAGACAGCCAGTTGACCATCTCCAATGCCTTCAGAGCCAATATTCCTCTCAACAAAAACATAGAGAACACTTCGAATCATTCGAATCTCAACCCGGCCTGCAGCCACTCGTGGCCGCAGCGCATCAACCACCAGGCTCGTGATCTCCAGCCGCGTCCGGACTGGGCTTGGTTGCCGAGCTGCCTGCTCACGCGCTCTTGCCAGCTTCTTGGCCTGGGGCAGTGGCTTGCTGCCTCAGGCCAAGGTCACCACAAGGATTCGACAAAGATCAGTTCTTTGACGCCAAAACCTGAAGAGCAGCAACCAAGCCACTGGAGGATTCGACCTCCGGCTCTCTTTGGCTACTCTTCGGGCCATGAAGCTGACCGCCTCTCCCTCGACTGCGCGACATCCTCAGTAAAGACAAAGCACATTGGGAGAGCGAAGTCAATAAAATGTGCTCAAGATTTCTAAGCCGGGCAAACTTCTCCCCATGAGATGCCACGGGACTCCAGAAGTGCACGAGGAGTGTTCGGAGTGTTTGGAGTGTTCGGAGTGTTCGGAGTGTTCTGCATCGCCGGCACCGCCGACTTTCCGTCTTGCGGCTTCTGTCTGGCTTCACCCTCGGGGGCGCGTGCTCCATCACCTCAGAATGTGGCTTGCTCTGGCCAAGGCCATGTGGCTATGGCTACGGCTACGGCTATGGCTTGCACTGCCGAGCCCATGCTTTCGTTTGCACCGCCGGCGCCTTCGTCTACCACCTTCCCACGGCTCTTGGCGAAGGCTGCCTCCGCCTCAGCGCTGAGGCGCTGCACCAGGCGATGCTTGGAATCGATCTCCTGGCACGAAATGACACGAACTGTCTCGCTCTCAAGCGAGCACTCGAACGAGATCCCCGACATGCTGGGTCCTCAAGCGTCCGTTTTGTGACATTGTAGTCCAGAGGGTGGAGAACAGTAGTTCTCTGCCTCGAGCCGCTAGCAAGCCCGACAAAGCAAGCAGTCAACATTACCCTACTACTTGCAGACTTAGCGACACTGCAGTGATGAAGCGCTCCCTATCCAGATCAAGATGCGTGTCCTTCGCTAAGCATTTGCAGTGAACGTGGTAGAAAGCTGGATAAAGCAGGCATAGTGTGGCTACCTTTTTGCCGTCCTGCACTTCGCGATTTTCACGTTCCTTTCGAATAGCATCGTTTTGACGATGCGCTTCCCTACGCGTTGTCCGTGAGCCATCATCACCTGAAGCGTGCAGCGACCCAGGTCGCTTCCGAGAGGGCTATACGGGGCCTAGTTCAAGCAGAAGTCCACACGACCCGTGCAAACACAAGCCTATCCAAGCCTTAAAGCCCCTGAAGCTCCACTGGCGCCAGCTTGCTTCCAGAGGCTGTCCCAGCACGAGGACGCTCCAAACGCCTCAGCCCCGAGGCCTGTCACAGGCGAGTTACGGTTTCGGCAGGAATTGCGAGGTGACTTCGGTCTTGGTCTGTTCCCCGAGAGCTTGAACGCACCTCCTATTCTCCTCTCACCTTGTGGCCTTTCTGAGAAAAGCCGTGTGCACACCGATTTTGGGCCTCTGAGCTGAAAGCAATGCATCTTGAATCCTGCAGCTTTCTTGAATCCCAACACTAAGTCACTATGGGGTTCCAACGTTCAGAGCCAGGGTACAAGGCGTGTAGATTTGCTGTGGCCGCACAAAGCCCGCGGCCGGAGACGGTGGCACAAGTTTAGGCTGCGATCTGGTTTTGGGTATCGTGCTCGCGCCTAGGCGCGGGCATACGCTCGGAGACTGCGTGGAGTTCTCGTGGGCCCGAACGTGGTTTTCATTGCACATGAGGCCAAATCACGCTCTCGCTTGGGTCCTGCGCACGTTCCGTGCTCGAAATCATGCTCCCCGGGCCCCGTGCGCTTTTTGATGTTTGTGCTGCTCTGAGGCGCATGCTTCCCTGCGTTTTTCGCTGTTGGACGGGTTCGCCTCGTGCATCCAGTGTGAGAGACTCTAAGGGGAGCTTACATTTCGCAAGGTTGCGCATGGCTCTCTGGTCTCGGTCACGGGCACATTCGCATTGTCAAGTGCAGAACTGTCACCACATTTGGGTCGTGAAAGTGCTCTTGAAGTCTTGGAGTGCTTTCCGTGACCTGGAAGGCTCTTTGGGTCGCTTTTTGCATGCTCTTGACATGGCATTGCACTGTTAGGGGCACGCTGGCATGTTGCTGCATCTTGAAGCTGCTCACACACACACACACACACACATGGGTGCGCAATTTGCTCAATCTCGCCAAAATGCTGCAACAACCCAGCCCCACCGAGTGTGAAACCATGTTCTGCCGCTTGCTCCGACATGCAGCGGTCACCCACCCCGCTCAGCGAGAAAGAAGTTTCCGCGCTGCCCTGGTCGTTCATCATGGGTACCCCAGTAGGCCATATGTAGAACAAAGGCGCCGTTCCACTTTCACGCCCCCGCCAATTGCTGTCCATATACGAAATCATCTGCCCCATGGTATTTAGTTAACGATAATTAGGGAGTTGCCTCATCGTCTCGTAGCAGAATAGCTTGAGCCGTCGCCCAACCAAATTGCTACTTGTTCTTCCTTATGGTAGACCAAAAGCCCAGCGCGATCCCTCAGACGAAAAGGCGTGGCGAACCTGCACATAATGATGCAGGATTTGCATCGTCTTCTAAATGCTGGGAAGCTGCAACACAAGAAATTGGATTTCCAGAGCCCGCATCTCTTTCCGGCAGCTTCAGCATGCTTCGGGCAACTTTGGGTACCCCGTGCATCAGGTTTCCATGGCGCCCACTGTTGCTTGTCACCCGTGACAGTCACAAGGCACCCCTTGCGGCCTTCACTCCCTTCTTTGGCTTCAGCCCAGAAGCCAAAGTGGCCTGGGTGGCCTAAGTGGGGCTGGGAATGGCTGGGACTTGCGAGGACCTGCAGACTTTCAGCACTCAGACCATGAAAGACAAGCCGCACTGTAGCTCGACACAGTGCCACTGCTGACAAACCGTCCGAAGTCACCCTCCATGCCGCTGGCGAGCTTCCAAACCTCATGGGACCAGCCAATTGAAACAGGACAACAGATGAGGTGATTACTTTTACGGCAGCCTGGGAAATGCAAGCGTGGCCCATGGCCGCGCAGCTACAGGGTAAGAACTTCTCCGCAGACGAACTGCTGCAGGCTAGGTCCTGCAGAAGCGGCCAAAAGCCCCCAAGCCGCACGCAGTGTCACGAAGGGTCAGAGTTGTCTTTCCCTGGACCATCCTCAGACGTTATGAAGCCGTTGCTCCGCTGATCCAGCTCCGTGAAGAGCAGGAGATGCTTCACGCCAGTCAAAGACTCCACATCATACCCAAGCTGCCTGGCAAACTTGCGCTCAAAGATATGCAATGCACAATCCCTGGACACGGTGCTGCTCCCGACGACCTCCTGCAGAAGTTCTCAAGATCGAGCGCACTTGCCTGACCACGCCTTAGCCACATCTTTTCGAATCCCCCATCCCCACTCTAACGTCTACCTGGCCAGCCGAGCGTCTCAGGGCTCATTGCCTGGAAAGCATTGTCAGGCGTCCTTTGCTGCCACGCTGTAGCAGAAAGAATGACTCTGTGCATGTCATCGCCTGCGAAACCTCAACCTTGAGTTGAGTGTCTGGTAAATCTTTGCGAGTATGAAGATCAGTGCCCTTAGGCCATCTAGGCCCAGCTGCTTCAGCTCCTCTCCACTTGACTCCACTACTGCATGTGCATGCCGTATGTCTCAGCCGCAAGACAGACGCAGAAGTGAGGTGTAGGAATGCAGAGTGCAGAAAAGAGTGTTACGATCCTAGGTGCAACTGATGGCTGATGCGTCGCTGTCCTCGAGCATGGCTTCGGGTGGAGACTGAAGTGGTGGTAAGTCGTCGGTCGCAGCACGTGCCTGAATGAGCGGCTATGACCATGGGAATGAAACTAGCCACGTGACATCTGTTTACGATTCACCATAAATTTGCCAAGGGCAGTTCCTTCCGCCCCTTGCTGGTTGCCGATGCCAAGCCCTCAGGGCAGCGCCGAAGCGACACCAAGGTACATCAAGAACACCCTCAAGTTCAGCTCAAGTTGATTCGCTGGCCTCATGCTTCGAGAAAACCTCAAATGCGAACCGAATGCGAAGTGCGTCTTTGCAGTCTTTGTGGTCTTGGTGCATCCGCCTCTGTAAATCTCTGCAGCCTCAGCAAAAGGTAATACGGTAACCTCTACCAGATGTCCACCAAGGCTCAGAGCGGAACGGCAGCAGCGCTACCTGCAACCAGCCTTCGACCTGCAATGAACAAGCTCCCTTGTCCTCCCCAATTCCCAAAAACCCAACAGAGCTCTAAAGTTCCAAAGCCTGATCGCCTTGCCGATGTTGCCCTTCTTGCCTCAATCACTTTTGGGCAATGAAGGCGTGCTGCTAACGCCAAAGGGGCCCTCGGAGTACGGGCCCTAAAGGAGAGCCCTAGCGTACGAGCTTAAGCAGGAGTGATCGAAAGTGACTTCGGATGACTTCGGCCTCCAGCACGGGGCTCTACCCTGCTGTGCTATCAAGTGGCGAGACCACCGAAGGGACCCAGGTTAGATTGAAGCCATCGTGCGCAGCGGTCAAGACGAAGAAGCGACCACCCTCCATGCGCACATCCGCTTCATTCAGCGCTACGGCCACGCACTGCTCGATACCTCTGATGTGCAGAAGATACCGAAAATTCAGAGACACGAACGGCATCACCCCAAACGCCCCAGGCCATGCTGTTTGCAGTTTGCCATGTTCTGCAGCTCCCCAAACTGCATCCAAGGGACGTGTTGACGGTGACACGCCCTTGCCAAAGCCTGCAATTCTTGAAGCTACCAGACCTGCCGCGCTGAGCAAGGCAAGAGGCGACAGCGATGCTGTGAAACATTTTGCACTGTACGAAAATTTTGCAAACGTTCAGAACTCTAGGTTTTTGCGTTTGTGTCTGTGGTGGCCTTTTTCCGCAGCTTCCTCTTTTCTCAAGCTTTTCTGGCTGCGTTTTCTCGACTCGCGAGTGCGATGTTCGTCGCTGTTGTTCTTCCCCCGGCGTTGCTTTGTGCATTTTGTCACTAACATGGTGATACGTAAGTGCAAGGATGCTCTGGCTCTGCATCTTGTTTGGTGGATTGAAGGTGGAGGGTTTTGGGGCTTAGGCTCTTGGGTGCAGAATTCGCCTCGGCTTCCTGCCGAGAAGCATTTGGAACAAGCAGACCCGGATCCGGTCTCCTTCCCCCTACCAACCCTTCCCCAAATTCTGTGACGCACGCCCCCCCCCCCCCCCCCCCCCGCCCTGTGGGACCATCGCTTGGAGGAGCTGCAAACCGATGCCGTGGGGTGTCCCGCCTGTCGGCGGCTCCTGAAGAGGGGCGCTGCAAAATGCACGAATTTGGCTGTCTTTCCTCTTTTCCCGACTGCCGAGGCGGCGCGCGCAAGAGTTTACAATTACTCGACGGGGCTTCAACCACAAGGCCGCAGCCACATCTTGCAAAGAATGCACGCCGTGTACAAGTCGCGTACATCTAAGTCGTGTACACCTATCATCGTCGGCCCCATCTTCCCCCATGGACCGAGACACGGAGCTCAAAACAATTTTTAGCAGCAGACACTCAGCATCAGGTGACCCTGTCCCCATCGAGGCGAGCTGCTCAGTCGTTCAATGCGCTCACACTGCACACAGCTACGGACCTGCAGTACATTGCTTGTGCGACCTAGAAACGACTACTCTGCACTACGTCGACGAATCGAAGGCTTGTCAAGCTGCTTGCTCAAACTAAAGCCTGAACTCCCAACACCCATCTCAGTCAGAGTAAAAAGTCGCCACAACAAGAGAAGTTGCTAGTCTCATGCGCCCCCGTGGCCTTCGCCCATAGGCCCGGCCACAAGGCCGCGTAGTCCCGTACTGCGCAAAGTGCGAGCCACAATCCTCAACAACAGTCCAAACAGAGCCATTCAGAGCCGCACGAACATGCCTACCATTAAATAAAAATTAGACATGTATATATGGATATTATCTATGTATCTATTTCTGCAAAGAGATAAGTACATATCTATCTATATTACCCCCATGCGATGCTGTTTTTGAAGTAAACTTGCAAGAGTAACAAAAAAATGCAGCCGCAAAGGCAGTATGACGGAGCTGGAAAGACTCCAGTTGTCAATTGGGTTTACAGATATCCCTTCCAGTCACGGAAATGACTTTTGACGTGCGTTCTCTGCTCGCGAAAGCTTTATGTGTGTGACAAGCGGTCTTCAAATCAACCGCATAATTCGCATTTTCAGGTTGGCTTGTAAGCTCAGCTGGCTGTCCGGACGCCAGTTCTCTCCCCCGCATGGAACCCAGAGGGGGGCCAGGTCATTGAATGACATGGAGTTCCCCCTAACAACTGCTGGTGCCATCAAATAGGTTGATATGGGCTCAATTCTGTCGATGTAGACATCCAGCTTAGCTTGAGCAACCCGCAAGCAGAGACAGAGACAGAGACGCAGACAGAGACAGAGACAGAGACACGGACAGAGACAGAGAGCGAGAGAGAGAGAGAGAGAGAGAGCGAGCGAGTGAGCGAGTTGCGTCCGCGAACGACAACTCTGTGTGTTCTGGCGTTGCCGTGATGCTGGCGCGTGGGTGGCATTCGCATTCTCGTCCGTGGACGACAACTCTCTGCGTGGTCTAGCGTTGCCGTGATGCTGGCGCGTGGGAGTCGTTCGCATTTTTGTCCGCGGACTTTCGTCCTTGTTGATAAATGAGGCGGTGTGCTCACTAGCAAACCCAATGAAGAGAACCGTCGTGGTTATTTTAATTTGGTCCAAGAAGAAGTGGTCCCATACAAGGTAATGAAACCACCTCTCTGTTGTGTTGCAAGACACGAGTCATGTTTGCAATAAGATCTCTGAATGCTTCTTCTGAATATGACATAGTAAAGGTATAGCTCAACAACGGTACTTATTCGTCGTACGAAAACAATTCTCTTTTCTTGATCTCAGAACATGAGAAAGCTCATTCTTCTCTCAATGAGAACTGAAGTCGTTTTAATAACTCACCAGTAAACGTAGACATTTTACAATCAACTATTCGTCTTGGCGAACATGAGAGCTTGCCTTATGATTCCTACACAAAAGACGGCCGCCCTACTCCCACGAATGCGAAATAGCAAGATCTGTTTGACTTGGTGTTGGGTAGTGAAAGAAGTGTTCTTCGTGACCTCAAGACAAAGCAGCAAGTGCTCATAAGATTTGTTCGCAACAAAGAAGGGAGAAGCTCTTGCGTGGTATAGATATATATATATATCTACATATAGGACACGAGAGCCACTATCCTTTATGGCTTGGAGGAAGGCCTTGTGTACGCAACTAAATTCCTGTAAAATGTCAGTACGAAAAACCCAGTTAAAGCAGAAACTCAAGACAGTATCCAAAACACATGGTTTTAAAAGAAATGATATATTAAAGACGGCAACGAAAGGCATAGCAATGAGAAAGGCACTGAAGAAATATGTTACTAGTAAAGAAGCAAAGGTTGCGGATGAAACCAATGCTTTCAAACGATATGCCAATTCATATTCAATATCTAATATTAAACTCAAAGGTTGCAAGGGTTTACCGCACTTCAAACATCAGGCAGAAAGACTTACAGAGCTTAAAGGCAGAAACAACAACATGAACATTAGAAGGGATGTTGATGCTTCCTTTAACCATCCAGAACATGAAGACCCCCAAACATACAAAATAGGAAGCAGAATTGATACAATCAACAACCCCTACGAATTCAAAACAGCAAGTGATAATATGGCATTAGGCATAGAAATTAAGGTGAATAACTCACACTTAAGAAAGTCGGGTTACACAATAAATAAAGCTGAAAGTATAAGAATTCATGATGACAAATACAACCCAACAAGAGCAGGTAAATATATTGAATTGCCTAAGTGGATTGCTACTGAAAAGGCATGTATTAATATTAAGAACGACGACGACTATTGCTGTGTCCTATCCAGATTTTATGAGATCATGAAGAAAGACCACCCTGACAGGATGTATCATTACAACAAACGAAAAGAACAGGACAATTTGCTGGGATGGTGTAGAATTAAATCAGCGTGCATGCAAATAGTGTCCTAAAACCACCTTGCGCCGATACGCCAGTACGCCACCCCCCCGCGACTTGTACGCCACTCCGAGGCCCGCAAATGGCAAATAATACGCCGCTACGCCGTTACGGGGAGCGTGGGTGGCCAGTACGCCAATACGCCGATATGCCGATACGCCGGTACGGGGCCGCCCGGGAGGGAAATACGTCAATACGCCAGTACGCCCGGCCCGGGGGGCGTACCCGTGTGTCAGTGTACCGGATGTACTGGTCCCAAGGGTAGTATGCGCCGAAACACCATTTTACGCCGATACGCCCGCGGCCGGACCGGTGTACCGGCGTATCGGTGCGGGGCTTTTTACGCCGATGCGCCGTTACGCCAATACGCCGATACGCCATTAAAATATGCCGATACGCCGTTACGCCGGACGGGGTACGCGGCCGGACCGGCGTACCGGTGTATCGGTGTATCGGCGCGGGGCTGTGTATTGGACGCTGTCTGCGTGCACCCTGAGAATTTCCAGCATCAAATGAAGACATTGACGCGTTTGAAGAAATACATGACAGAGTGTGAATGCCATTGACCCTTACGGCACCAGTAGCATAGTAGTTAATAGAGTTTGTAAATGTAAAACTCCTTCGTGTCATGTTTATTTATTGTCAGTAGAGGAAAAGAGTAACCACCACTGTGTTTTCATCCAGGATTATAGCGGGTTAATTGGCAGAAGATTGTGTCACTGTATGGTTTAACAAAGAAGCCCTACTTAACAGCCACTTAATTATGAAAAGGATGTATGGCACACGAAATTCAACAAACAGTAGTGCCGAAGGAGGACGAACAAATGAGCTTCCAAAAGCATTACAAGAAACTTGAGTGCCCTTTTGTTCTTTATTGTGACTTTGAGTGTTTAACAACGCCATCAACTGAAGGAATTAAGGGCACTTACGTGAACGAAAGTGAACCTAAGTGTCCGCAGGGGACTTACGTGAACGAAAGTAACCTAAGTGTCCGAAGGGGACTTGCGTAAACGAAAGTGAACCTAAGATTTTAAAGGGGACTTACCAACATCATACACCATGCAAATTTATGTTAAATGTTGTCGATTGCGTAACAAACGAAGCAACACCTTATTTATACAGAGGTGAAGATTGTTTGGACAGATTTTGATCAACCATGAATAACCTGCAAGCAGGGATTATGGACAAGATGAAGGAAGAAAAAAGATTGATTGGACAGAGAAGCAACGGGAACAACATGAACAAGAAACACATTGTTTTAGTCGCGGTGGGAAGTTCAACCCGAAAGACCACTGCCACTTTACAGGACAATATAGAGGTGCCGCACACAAGAAGTGTAATTTAGTCTTTCGAATACTTTAAACTGCCAGCGTTTTTTTCATAACCTTGAGAGTTATAATGCACACTTCATAATTTCACACATGGAGAAGGTTTATGAACCAGTCTGTGGTTCATAAACTTTATATCTCGTTTCAGGTGTGTAAACAAGTATTAAAACCGTAGAACTTTTGCAGAAGTGCAGAAATGTAGGGGGGGATACTACTCAGCCCATACATGTATATATATATATATATATCTCTCTCTCTCTCTCACTGTAATCACGCATATCACGTATACAAATACCTACAAAACATACGCACAGACATACATAAGTATATGTATATATACATATACATACATATGAAAAAAAACATGTGTGAGTCCAAGTTGCCTGCAATCAGTGACACATTCCTCCAAGGCTGCTGGCTCTTCCTCCGCACTGTCATCAGAGATGTCCCCGCTGCAGTCAATGACCTCAGCGAGAAGGACAGTCAAACAGATTCTTGCTATCCATGTGATCGATTGCAGTGAACGAATCAAATCTCAAGTCAGGTGAGCAAGTGCTGCAAGTTGAATAATACAGATCAACCGACAGTTGCAATCTTCAGACATGACATCACAAGCAGTATTGACACAAGCAATTTGTGCAGAAGAGCTCACACAACAAAAACCATTACTGGCAGCGTGCAACTTTGCTGCAGTACAGCACGTGCCGAACACCTAATGGACCTAATGCGGGAATATGCGGGAGTACACGTCACCGGACTAGTGCAAGACTGCCATATCAAGCGTATTCTGTATCAAGCAACTCTAACCCTGACACAGATGACATGTCAAGACAATGCAACAAAAAAGGCAGCCATGCTTGCAAAGACTTGCGGCGCCGTAGTATCTTGAGGCCGGTGCATCAGCAGCAGAGCGATGTGGTGCTGCTTGAGTCGTGCGATGCACCGCCGGCCAAACAAGACCGCTGCGAACAGCCCTGGTCGGAAGGACAGAACCAGGAGCCCCACCAGCTTCAGCCACACGTGCGTAAGTCATGAGGATTAAGCATTACAAGTGAGTGCATGGTCACATCAACAATCTCTTCGCTGCCTGGCACTGAGAGGTACCCTGCGGGGCGAGGCCCAGCAGCGGGCCATGAGCCGTGAACTCTCAGGAGGCCATCCCACCAAAACTGATCCGCACGCTCATCTATGCTATGCGACGATGAAAATACCCCCACTTCTCCCGCTTGCCCCTGTGTCCATCACCACAGCATATCTCGCACATGTTCGGGGGGAGGTCAAGCCGGAGACGGCAGAGCGGACCTTGAAGTTCTTGAAAGTACCTATCTTGGATGGGTGGCAAACCCGAAGAGCAGCCCCTTTTGCTCTTTACTGTCCGCATGAATCACCCGGCAAGCATGAAGAGACCTCGGAAACGCGCAAAAAGGGAAACCTGCCACGATGTCACCTACCACTTCAGAACGGAGGCATTGATCCTCTTGCTGCAGAAATGCTGCCAAGAGGCATAGGTTCTGGCTTTCTCATCAAAGTCCACATGGACCTTGCCCTGGTCGAATCGCGATGCCTCTTCACTGGTCGCCGCCGCGAAATAAGTACACGGAAGTATTACCTGTAGAATCAAAACCTTAAACTCATGCAGCCCTCGACGCCCTGATGACCAAGAATCGGGCCTTGACCGCGGCCACATAATCGCGAGTCAATGCCACGAGCTCAGACTCCTCGACATGATTGCCACGCTCACGGCCTGTTTGAACTTGCTGCCTGCATCCGCTCATCTCAAAAATCCTCGGCTTCTTGGTCCACGGCCTGTCGTTCGCCACATGTTCTCACATTTCTTGGCGGCAAGCATGGCAAGCCATGACAGCGGGCCTCCTCCAGGCGCTTCTGCAGCTCAAACACTTGCAGATCTCGTATTGCCTGCCAGGCGCAGACATCTGGCTCCTAATTAGCGTGGTCCTCAGCGACGAAATAGTCTCAAGCAGAAGATCGACGAGCGAGGTGTGAATTGAGAGGGTTCCCGTCGCAAGTGACCCTTCCGAGGTTCCTTAGGGAGCGTTAGGCTTTCCGGGCCCTGCAGAATACTACCATGGAGCCAAGGCAAGGGCCTGAACTGCCTAACAGCTTCTTCCTTCTGCAACCAAAACAATGCTTTGGAGCCCCCTATGGACAATCAACCGACCCCATGAAGGAATTTGACGTTCTACCGGCCCTCTATTGGACCCACAAAGAGAATGTGTGAGCCACACATGGAGGAACCCCATGGACCACCCCTCTGCGGAACCACCCCAAGAGGCCCTGTGGAGCCCTCCTACAAAGACTTAGCCGAAGAGCCAGGCTCTTCGGGTTGCACGGCCCATCTAGACTGCAACAAGCTGTCTTGCAAGAACACTTGAAACTCTTCACACGCATGCACGTGCCTCATCATTGTGACTATTCCTCTGTTTTCTTCGTCGATAACCTCTGGCCTCTGACTGCAACAAAACCCTAGTATCTATCGTTCTCCTGGAATCATGACTTTCTGAACATTGCACGCATTGCCCAATGGGGCGAGCCAGGCCTCCGCTTGCCGAGGGGTAGTAAATGTGTCACAATATCTGTGGGTACCCAATTTCTGTTGCTTTTGCCTACCCCCCACCCGGCCCCAGTTTCTAAGCCTACGAGCCCTATAACCACCCCCCCCCCCCCCCCCCCCCCAACCCCAATTCGGCGAGCTCAGCCACACCTGCTTGAGAACAGGATGGAAATCACCAGCCAAGACTTCCTCTTTCGTGTGCCATCCGATATCGGCGTACTCCTTGTGGCTTGTGACCACAGTGAAAACAAATATACTCATCTTGTCGCTGAACACATGCCTTCTCGTCGATTTTCAATCGGGACTCCTTGCGACATGTGTCGAGTAACACTCTGCCCAAAGTGAGGGACCAACACGTTTCAGGTCCTCAGCCGCATGCAAAACCATGCGGTGCATCGTAGAAATATCCTAAGCGAAGCTTAGGTCTGCCCAAGGTCTGCACAAAAGCTACAGCACAAGCTGCTAGAACTGCTCACATCTTGGCTCGCATTCTTGGGCATCGGCAGCAGTGCCATGGTCTGCAGGCGCCTCCCAGTGGCTCCAGGTTACGCTCTCAAAGTTACGAGGCTTTCTGCAAGCTCCGCCAACATAGGGTGTTGTTGTGTGTTTGGGTTATGCCATCGGGAGCCACACCCCTCTTAACTACAGCCCGCTTCCCAAGTGTGTTTTTTTCAGGGGGAGCATAAAGGAAAGCGAGAAGAAACAACCAAAAAAAGAAGAAAAAGCAGCACAATCAACAGAGAAACGACCGAGAATCATGGCCTAGGCGGCCTAGAATTGCTGAGAAAAAATCGCCCAGTTCTACAAGTTTCGCAGACGGCCACCAAAAAACACTTCTGAATCTTCTGAAGTACCTGCCTGCGCTCTCACGGCCCATGTCAGCGAGTAGCTGCCAATCACCTCTCGAGGTATTGGGGGGGAGCCTTGGGGCTCCAGCTGGCCGCACTCTGGACGCATCCCGACTCTCTGCACTTTTTCCGGATGGAACTTCCGCAAGGCTCCCAATCTCTCAAGCAGGGGGAAACCTAGGAAACCTAGGCACCTTCCCCAGTCATTTGATCAGCTTGCGGATGATGCCTTTCACTTTCGGTACGGGCCTCTTCTTGTATGGATTTCGCGGATATGGCGCTGCGCCGCGCTTCATCTTGACATCCAGCCGAACACTGAACTCACGTGGCCGGAGAAAGTCGCACCAATGCGACAGCACCTCAGTGGCCTGTCGCTGGTCGTAAGAATTGGCGATAGGTGTCTCGCCGATCTTGCTTCCATGCTCTATTGGAACACAAGGCGAAGGCCAAGGAGCGACCATCTGGGCCATCAGAGCCATAGGAGCCAGGCAGCAAGGAACACCAAATCCACCGGCAAGCCTGCGGGCAAGCCCAAGAGTTTGGGACCGCCAGAAGCTCACATGCACGACCGGGCTGGATCGCAGCACGAGAGCTGACCAGGACCAGCCAAATTGAGCTGCCATCATTCTTGCTGTTCTCCTTACAGCTTTTCAGGCCAAGGTGCCTCACACCTCAAACATGGCTGCACCCTTTGTCACGGAACATCTTGAGCTGAATCCAGCGAAGATGTGGGATGAATCACAATGACTGCTGCTCACATGGGAAATCCGCCTGCGCTTACAAAAATGCATGCGCAAAAGATTGCGACATGTCCGAGGCCTCGAAACGCGATGGTGGTATGTCCAAGCCCAGTTCTCGCCGAATGTTTCGCCGAGCTGCCTATGGATTACTTCAGCCTGTACTTCTGACATGTATGTAGATGTACAAGCTGGATCCTTGCAAGATTCGTGACCAACCTCCTACCTCCAACCTCCAACGAAAAAGACAAGAGAAAGACACAGACAGCGTGAGAAAAAGGAACTGGTAGGAGCCACGAACCCGAATGCAGACACGTGTCATGTACGCCGCGAACATGACAGATGCGAACGCGCCACAAGAACTCCGAGCTGATGTGTCTGATGACAAATTCTTGACTAACAGATGTATTATCATCTATTGGGGGAATAATTTGGTACATTCATAAGGGCCTTTATTCGCGGGGTTCTTTCTCACGGCCGGCACTTAGTGCATAAGGCTGTCTCTCTGGGCCCGCAATGTAAACACGCAGTAATAATGAAGTGACTGAAAGGAACCCCCAATAACGTAATTGTCTTCACAAACACCAGGATGATACGGACGAACTGATGAACGGTAGATAGACATGAAGAAGGTGTGCTTGCAATTGTTCTTCTTCCGGCCGAATCCGTCCAGTGCCGAGTTGTGGCTGCAGCAATCTGGAGGACTGTATTGGCGGATTTTCAGCGCATTTCGTGGAAGGTGCCGAGGACTCTCCCCACGCATGCGAGCAAGAGCTGCCGGAGTGACTGAGTTCGTGGCCTCTTGAGGGGACTCTCCCGGCTTCGCGCGCCCGCCTATGACCCACCTGGGGCCAAAGACTGCCTGCTAAAGCCACAGAACAAATGGAGCGAGCAACACGGCTGAGAGCACTGCCAGTCTGGTTGCGGATGCACCTCGTACACGGTTCAAAGAGATCCCGGTCAAACTTTCATGAAGTTGCACTTCGAGAAAACAAGCCGGCAGGGCCTTGCGTTTTCCGAGGAAGACACGTGCACCGTCTGGTGACGTGACAAGGATGTCTGACCTGCATGGTCGGGTTTCCGCGAAGAACTTACAGAAAAGCCGAAAGACCGAGAGCCAACAAGAGTCCTGTGCTATTTCTGACTTCGTTTGTAGGCAGAGATCTAAGCGTCGACTCCAACTCATACCTAGGATGTCACTTCAGCACGCCGTTCACCAAGGCTTCTGGTGGGGGCTGACAGGTTTTCTCCTTTCTCCTCGTTCTCAGTTGCGGAAAGCCTTGCTCGTTCTATCTCCGTCTCGTGTTGAAGGTTCCTACTATAGGACGAGGCGTATTCAATCCGCGACTCGGTCGCGCCCTGAGTCCTCATCATCATCATCACTCAGCGCCAAAGCCGAAGAGAAGGAGCGCGGCACGGGTGAAACTAACTCGAACATAGAAACCACAGAGGGTTGTAACTGTACAAGAGGCATGTGATCAAAGACTCGTGGCAAAGCAGTGAACTACTTTGCTTTTACTTTGTAAGCACGTAGGCTGATTTGGACGTAGTTGTCCAACGATGAAGCTCTTCATAGCGTGTGTTTGGGCGATTTGTTAAGCATGTCTATTTAGAATGGGGCTTGACGTTTCTGTGCAGTGTTTTGTAGGAGGGTTAGATCGAGATCTAACGGTATGTTTGCTAGCGCCCTGAGTCCTGTCCCTCCGATTTCCTTCGTCTACTTCAACTGCGTTTTGCCAATTGTCTCATGCTGTGCAGGAAGGAATGCCGTTCGATATGGATGTGTGTGCGGCATGGACGTCATGACGGACCTCCCTAACAGAATCTTAACTTCGGCTCGGCATGCAATGGGTTGCATGGCCAGGGGCGATAGCATTCAACTTGCGGCAGCTGCGTGCACTGGACTATATGAATGAGGGCGCTTAGAATGCAAAAAACCATAGGAAGGGCGAGCGTCACCGTGCGCCGATACATGTGACACTAAAAAGGCCTAACCACAGGCAGAAGAACGCTGCCCGATAAAGTACAGGACGACTCCAAGTTTTGCCAACTTCTTTTTTGCTTCGAGCTGGTCTACAAGGCCCTGGGCACCCGACACAGCTTTCACCAGAGCATCCAGAGCACGGCCGTATTCTGCGTCCTGCAATAGAAGAAAGCTGGAAAACAACATGACTCGTTTAGTGAACACGGCCCTGCTCCTCCAAGAACAAATGATGAGGTTGGAAGTTTCCAGTTGTGAAGCATGGGACGTGCATTCCGCGACTTTGCACGTAAAGACAGGTGAGACCGCATGCTAGGTAGCCATATCAAGCCACGGGCTCAGCAACCACAAGATACCACATGCAAGACACTTTGATGCAGAGCTTTTTTTCAACGAAGAAGCCGCTCACCTCTTCTACCAGCATACAAGAGCTATTGCGGCCATTGATTCTTGCCGAGACATCTTGGGAAAGTGAAGACGAGCTTCATACGCTGTATACAGCTCTGCTTGTAGAGTGTAGAAGTTAAGGCGAGCGCAAGTGTCAAAGAGTTGTCTAAGTTTCTAAAGATGTTTGAGCAAAGTCTAGAAGTTGCAGACTCAACAGGCTTAACAGATCATATCTCAACAGGTCTTGTTGCCACGCTGCCACCTGTCTGTTGGGCGGTGTGGCACTGTGGAAATGTCTCAACAGCTGGTCGAACTCGTCCGTCACATGTACTAATTTGGAGTCTGAAGGTTTGGGAGGGAATGGCTTCAATTCAAAAGCCAAGGCCAAGGCTACAGACTTTGCCGCCCTCAGAGTTAATCATGTGGGACATTTAATAAAGCTTGGCTGCAAGATGCCGGGAAAGCCAAGAGGCTGGGCAAGGCCACGCAGCGATGGGGCGGGGCATTTGTAGCTTCCTTGAGCACTGAACCTGGTTAACACTCCAAACCAAGGTCCGAAGGTCGAGACTTGACATTCAACAGCCTTAAACCTGGGACCGTCCAATTGCCTTCCAGAAGGGCGGTGGGCAAGCCTCCGTTGCCATGGCCGCAGAAGTTGCCACGGGTCGCTACTAAGAACCATTGAACGGCGGCGAGACAAGCTGAAAAGAACTAACATGAACGAACTGTCCTGAAAAAAAAGTCGTGAAAATCTGTCGACATGACTTGGCATGCAGAGCAGAACTTCGAGAAAAATCTGTGGATTCGAGGGCTGCACTTGTACTGGCACGGCCTGACCGGTTCGGCAACCTCATCGGTGACTCCTCGGAAGTGGCGAGAAGCGGCGCGTTCCAGACATACAGCATCATGAAGCACACTTTTTTTCCATGTTGAAGTTGCTTGTGAGTGCTCTTCGTGGCAAGTGCGTGCAAAAGATCGGGCAACGCAACTCGACCTTGAGCTGCCGACCCCTCGCTGAGGCGACTCTCCGCGTTGCCTGGGCTACCAGCAATCTTGCTTGCATATTCTTTCTCCTGCTGTCCACGAATGGTGCTGGCCGTGCTGGCCAGGCGGTCTCTGTCTATCTCCACAAGTTAAAGGCTTGAGGCTTCAATTTGAAGCCCGAGAAAGTTTCCAGGCGCTTGAAACCTTCAACATAATCTCGACGCTGTCGGTGTGCTGTTTGCAGAATTTTGCAAATGCGCGAGCCCCTGTTGGTCTCCATCGGTTTCCACAGGGTTGTATTGGCATCCTGCTCCGCCTGGCGAGGAGGCCTGGGTTGCTGGGAGACCCTGCGTCTGATGCTCCTCCGCCACTGCGGTTGATCCGAAGGGGCCCGAAGGGGTGACGATGGCTCCAGGGGAACTCGGAGAGTTGCCTTGAGGCTCGCGTGGTCCAAAGATTCCCAGGACATGTGGCTTTGATTTCGCCCCAGAATCGCACGGGCTAGAAGAAAAACCACTAAGAACTGGCTTCTTCTCCTCTTCCTCTTCCTCTTCCTCTTCCTCTTCCTCTTCCTCTTCCTCTTCCTCTTCCTCTTCCTCTTCCTCTTCCTCTTCCTCTTCCTCTTCCTCTTCCTCTTCCTCTTCCTCTTCCTCTTCCTCTTCCTCTTCTTCTTCCTCTTCCTCTTCCTCTTCCTCTTCCTCTTCCTCTTCCTCTTCCTCTTCCTCTTCTTCTCTTCTTCTTCTTTCTTCTTCTTCTCTTCTTCTTCTTCTTCTGCTTCTGCTTCTGCTTCTGATTCTGCTTCTTCTCCCGCTTCTTCTTCGTCGTCTTCTTCTTCTTCTTCTTCTTCTTCTTCTTCTTCTTCTTCTTCTTCTTCTTCTTCTTCTTCTTCTTCTTCTTCTTCTTCTTCTTCTTCTTCTTCTTCTTCTTCTTCTTCTTCTTCCGCTTCTTCTCCTTCTCCTTCTCTTTCCCCTTCCCCTTCCCCTTCCCCGCAGGGTGGTCTTCAGCTGTTTGGTGACCTCACAGCCCCCGGAGCCAGCACCCCCGGTGTCCCACCTAAAGGGTCAGGAGCCACTGTGCACCCGAAGAATTAACACTTCCTCACCCACCGCAGCTGGCACTCAAACTGCCCAGCAGTAGAATTTACATTGCCACATCCACCCTGCCCCAAGCTCTGAGTACCTCAGCACTACCTCAGCGCTGCCTGGAGCCTCAGTTCGTGTTGTTGGATCCAGTCCAAGAACCGCCTTTGCAACACTCGGGTACCGCAATCATTGCTGGTGTTTGCTGGTGTATGCCGAGAAATGCCGTGGGCTGGGAAAGGAGAAAGCCGACTCACCCAAGCTTTGTCAGGGACATGAAACTGACCTAGAAAGGCTTGACACCCAGTCTGTGCAGCAAAGCGGATTCGAGCACCAAGACAAATCAACGACATGCAGAAAGAAAATGAGGAAGCGGGCGGGTATCGATCTGCTGGGGATGTCTTGGGCGACGGCCTCAGCTTTCATGAGGAAACTTCAACGAGAGCTGAATGTCAGCAAGATGTCAACTTCATTCAGCAGTGCGGCTCTCGCGAACCAGGCCGGCCTCAGCTCAGATCTTGATGATCTTAAGCTGCAAATGCGACAGCTTGCATCGTCAGGAACGTGAGTGTCACATTGACACAGACAACACTATTGACACGCTTGTGAACGCGACAGCTGGTTCTTGGAGGCTTTGCTGGGATGCCGGCCATCTTCTCTGCGGCGACCTGGGCCTTTGTGAAACACTCTGAAACACTTTGAAACCCCTGCTGTGAACAGACTGAACTATTAGTTTCTCAGCAATGTTCCACATGGCTTGCTATGCACAAGCGCGTGCATGAACTCAGCGTGCAACCGGTCAGAGGGTCCTTGTGGTTGCTGACTTGTCCGCGTTGCGGCGCCTGCAGCAGGAACTTGCAATTCGGGCAAACATTCATTCTGAAGCATCCGGGATTAAGCGATGTGTTATCATGTGTTCATCTTCGGACCGCCTGTGATGCCCAGGAGCTCCCAGTCGACGTTGCACTGGGCTGCACCTGAACTTCCGAACTTTTGACAATTGCGTTGCTAAACCACACCTGTCGAGTCACCTGAGAAAACGCCAATCGCGGTGCGGCTGGCACCTGGAGAGCAGTTGGAGTTTGGCACAGAAGTGCACAGAAGTGCACTGGAGAGATGGCCAGGCTTCGAGCGTCCCTGTACGGGCTGTCTCGAGGCCCTGCACCTTCCGTATCTTCTCTTCAGAAAATGGCAAAAAGAACGGGCTCTTGAGACGTTGAAACCGAACTCTTCAACTCAAAGGCCTTGTTGCGATAGGGGCGATTGCAGTGACTGCGACAAGAGGTAGCCACCACTTCGGATCGGATCCGTAAGCGATGTGCCTTAGAAGACGGGACGAAGTATCTCTCCAGATGTGGCTTCCATTGGTTTCCTCGCAGAAACCAAAACTCTCACCTCCCCAGTTGAACTTTGGGGAAGCGTCATGTTATTTTATAGGGCTATGAGAGATGAACAGAATGCATCCAACTCAAACGCGACCCTTGCCGATCGTACATTCAAAGTCGCTACTTCGCGGCGCCAAGAGTGTAAGCCCAGTCCAGTCACGGTAAGCAACTTTCTTTCGTGAAGTTTTTGGAACTCACATGCGGCCTTTTGGTCACGCTTTCCTAGCGAAGGCGCGAAGGAGGAAGAGGAGGAGTGCTGAAGCCTTTTGCTCGTTGGATGTTTTTGGTTTTTGAGCATGTGTTGTAAGTTGTAGCTAACAGTCAGCTACTATAGTCGCAACAGCAGCTGCCTAGCACTAGCCAATCATAGCCATTTTAACAAAGAACATCACGTGGAATGATAAAGCCCAGTGCCATCCGGCAGCCCCCTTTGTGATATTGAAGAGGTTGTGAAGGCAATTGCCGGCAGTGGGAGCTGCACAGTGTTCGGTGTTAAGCTGCATGCTCTGCTTAAGCTGCTTTTGTGGGGTCGCAGAAATACAGCACCTACCGTATCACAGGGGCACGCAACTCAAGGAAACGAAAGTGGAGGGACAGCACATCTCAAAGCAGCAGAAATCAAGACCTGGAGGATAGTCGAGCGCACTTCGCCGGATAGCACAGCTCAGGCAAAAAAAGCATGCCACGCAGATCTAGCCGTCCACAATTTGCCGAATGTTCTGCGCCTGCTGCTCAAAATGAGGGTCTCTGCGCTCTATGCACTGAATGGCGGGCATGACCACAGTGCGCCCTTGATATTCTCTCGTTGTAACCAATCGAAGAACCCATGGTTAAGACACGGAAAGCATTGCCAAGGACCTGTGTTCATCTTGACAGGGAGACATTCGCCGGATTCCCTGATCTTCTCAGAGGCTCCGGCTTGCTGCAGCCATCGGCCTGCGTGCCAAACAGTGAGCACTGAGCTTTTCCTTCTGGAGCTTTTGCTTCTTGAGATTCTTGAGCTTACGCACACCGACACTCCGATATTTGCCCGCAACGAACGAGCACTCGCGACTCGTACCATGACGAAGAACTTGGACAAAATAGTATCTTAAGCTATGCAAGGCACGGAAGCGAGAAGAGAACAGACCCCGAAAAACAGCAGACTACGAGGAGAAGCTCGAGATCCAAAAGGGGGCAGATAGTGGGAGATCAGACACTAATAATTCCTGGGGCTTTGGCGCGGTCTGTGCAAAGCCATTGATGCCGGCTGACGTCGCCTAGACATGAAACAGACACTAATACACACTCACCGGCGAGTCAGCAATCCACGCAGTCGCAGCGCAGCCCACGCGGACAAAAGGGACGAGCATCACAATTAAAACACGCGGGTGCAGCAGGCGCGGCGGGCGTGGCGGGCGCAGGTGGAGGCTCCTCCTGCAGAGGCTGCAAGCGAACAAGCTAAGAAGCTGTGGCAATAACAGTTCCAAGAGTTGAAACAGCTTCTGCATTGTCGCAAATTCCAACCTCAGCTGCCCAGGCCATAGGAATCGCTCCCGGCGGCGGTGGCCTAAGAACGAGCCACAGCTGAATGGCTATGCGAACTCTTCCGCAGACTTGTCACAAAGGCCCGTGCACGCTGTCGTCCCCTCGGGATCTAATCGCCTGCCGCCAAGGAAGTGATCTGAGAGGTTTGCCGCGTCTGTGCTGCCAGAGGCTGGCATAGCGGGATGTCATTTTGCAGCATACGCCCCTAACCAACAAAGGAAGCTCGAGTGGCTATGAGTGGCTATGAGCACTCCAGATGTTCTCCTTAGCTGCAAGATGCTACTACTGTACAAGTCAGTGTTCGAGTGCTGGCCAGCCATGACAGCTGAGCTGTACTGATATCTTTTTATCTGTCTTGTGGTGCCGCTCTAAGACTGCACGACAGCACTCGAACTTCAGCCCCAACATCCCCAACTACAAAATCCTCTTTGAGCGGATCTTTGCCCACTCCAATCAACTGTCTGTCTCAACGTCTCCCTTTCCGTCCAGCCGTGGGGAGTTAAACGCCTCAGTCGTCTTGGGTGTGCTGCGGAAGTAGATCCAATATATCCAATAGCTGCCAAAGGGGGGTTTTCTCAGAGAGCGGCACTTCAACTTGCTCTGCTGTCAGCTGGCTGAGAGCTGCGCGGCATTCTGCAGCAAAGCGGGCACTTTTTGGGAACGATCCTCGGAAGGACCTTGCCAGTGCCAGTAGCTGCTAGTCACGCTCATGCAATTCCCGCCGACCCCCCCCCTCCACAACAGGTGGCCCGCACCTGACCGAGAGTCGTTCTTCAACTGCTCCATGAGCCTTTCCTCAGTGACATGAGTTCCAATCGTGCCGCTGGCGATGGTGAGATCTTGGCAGGGGTTGGCACGTGGCTCACATCTATGAATTGCCAACCTCTCTGCAAAGCCCCGCCATCAGCCCAATTCCACTGTTCCTTTGTGCACATGGCCCTGTTGAAAGGGAGATGCTCCTCCAGACGCCCCAACTTTTCTATGGTCTTATTTCTGTTCGTGCTACCGCACTTGTCCTGCCCGCTCATCCGTGTTTCGCTCTCTAGCTGTCCAAGCGCTGCCCGTGTCCAGACCGTGTCAGGGAAAGTTCGGTTGAAGACGACATGCAAGAACTTTCTGATGTGCCAAGTCTGTCAAGTGTTCTTGCACGGTCACTTGGAGGTCGCCATGAGAAGCCGCACCACTGAAGAGGAGTGCAAAAGACACCCTGCCAAAGACATTGGCCCTGTGAATCGACCCAAAGAGCTGGGGGTAATGGTGATGGACTTTCGTTTGTGCATGTACCTCCAATCCCCTACAACAAAAAAACTCTGACAGAACTGGACAGCAGGTAAGGAAAGAAAGCCAGGCAAGGCAAGATGCAAGGGTTTCTTGAAGTCGCGCATGGCCCTGGTTAACGTGCGACCTCACAGGAAGCCAAGCTCCTCTGTAGCCCTCTTTTTTAACAGCCAAACAGCCAGGGGCCGAGCTCCAGCGCATGGATGCGGTCTTCTATGGCTGCCAGTTGGCCAGACTGCAGGCATAGAGCATGCGCAGAAGAGCATGCGCAGAAGAGCAGCGCATCGCAACAAATCCAGCATGCTGAGGGCGGCTCCTGCTCCGTCAGCGTGACCCAAGTCTGCCGAGCCTCACGGCGCATGGCCTTCCTTAGCTGCAGGGATGTTAGCTGCTAGCTGCTCACTTTGTCTGCGCACTGCAGCCGAGCCACTCCACCTGGCGCACACGACCCTCCCAGCGGCTTGCTTCTTGCTGGGTAGCTTGCAAGCCACCTCCAGCATATCGCACACCTTCACAGGTGAAGACGTAGGCCTCAACAGGGAAGCTAACTGTAACCTGACCAAAAGGACGCCACGCATCAAAGTCCTCAAAGGTAGCAAACTCTGAAGCACGGCAAAGCCTTCTCTTTCCGGCACCTTCTGGGAATGACATTGGCAACTTCGGCCTGCAAATTCGATCAGCAGCACAGTGACGCAGCTGCGCTGCGCGTTCGTGCTCCGTAGTCCCCACCTCGTAAACCAGCTCTAATCTCATCACGTTTCGTGCTTCCTCAGCACGTTCTTGAACCTGCACTAGGCCATGCTCCCACTGCCACAGCTCGGCTTTTCCAATGCTTCTCTTCTTTGTTTTTTGTTCTCTTCTTCTTCCTCTTCTTCTTATTCTTCTTCTTATTCTTCTTCTTCTTCTCCTCCTCCTCCTTCCCGGAGATGAGTCAGGTTCAGGTGAAAATACAACGGCGGGCTATGGGTCGGTTGGACTCAGCTGCCTGCAGTTGTTGCAGCTACTGTACGAGTTTCCTGCCCTCTTGGCCAGACGTGTCCCCGACATGTTAACCCTCGCGTGAAGCATCATGCTCATTTGCCATTTGGCTACACCAGCTGGGTACAGTAGCAGCGGCCGTGGAGTTGCATGAGGCCCCCTTCTCTCTGTAGCCCCGAGACCACTACTAAATGGCGGCTCCACTGCTTGCCCTGTTCCCCGGCAGATCTCTCGCAACTGTTCCGTTGCTAAACACCCCATCTTATAGCGACGCCCTTTTGTCGGCCCCCGTCCTACTGCACCTGCCCCAATTCCCCCGAAACCGGTCTCCACCTTCCGAAAACCTCCCCAACTCCCCCACTGGTCCTGTCAGTTTCCCTGCAAGGTTCCTCCAAGACTGTCTCTCTCTCTCTCTCCCGCTGCTTCCCGATGGTCTCATTATTGAATGCTTGCCTTGTCGTAACTGTCTCCCATGATGGCCTTCAATGGAATGGCACATGCCCAAACCAAATCTTTCCAGGTCTTTCCACGTGGCAGGGTTGTGCAAAAATGCAAGCAAAGTGGCAATCAGAAAGTTCATCATCACCTGGAGGCGATGCAAGGTGCGCATCAGCTTCCAGCACGGTTGTGCCATGTCTCCCGTGGGTCGAGTCACGACAAGCATGACCACCACACACATCACCAGCAACAATCTTGCCATCCAAGTGGAGTCATCCTTAAAAGCAACGAAAGGCACGTGTTCTTTAACTTTAACGGTCTTCCAAAAACTGGTAGCCTCCATCGCACAGCGTAGATGTGACAGGCATCAGCACCACCCGGCGCAGTTTCACCATCGCCAAAGACCCCATGAACGTAGACATACCACATCATTTCAGCAATTCCTTCCACCGAGAAGGGCTGGTCGTAAAGCCTTACGCAGATGTGATTCTTGCATTTGAACTTGCAGGTGCCCCTTATGCTGCGCACCAAGCAGCAAAAGGAAGGCAAAGACAAAGGTCAGCAGCATCAACAGCATGAGGCGGAAAAACACGGCCATGTCCCAAAAAATTGTGATCAGCGTCCTGACATGAAAGGTCTAGCGCCAAGCCACACTTTGCGTAACTCGTGAAGAATGAACAAAAGCGAACCGTCGAACTGACGAAGTCCTCACAAGGTGGCCTGTATTGGGAAATGCTCGGAGGAAACTGATCAGCCTGGGCTCCATGGTCAAAACATTTGAGACTGATCAGCCCAGGCAACTCTCGAAATTCAGAAATGATTCTTGGCAGGATTTTTCAAATGTGCTCAAGAGTGACCCCGCCTTGAGCAAACGAAGACCGTGGTTACAGCGAGCAGGTTCTTGCCGTCTCCGAGGAACACATCTGAGGCAAACCCTCCAACTAGCATAGGCTATGCAAAAAGCTTCACATGATGACAGGTGATGGTCCTGGTCATTGGGGGCACGCCCTGGCCACCTCGTGTGAGACAGGATTAGCGTACAAAGACCATATCGATGGTCTGCAACGGATGGACACACGCTTCGCATGTGCACTCGGATCTGGTGCCGCCGTCCTGTTCGGATACGGACCGCGAGCAGTGAGATGGGACTGTCTAGGGAAAAGGCACAAGACAGATAAGAGAGCGCGTGCAAGTGCGTCTCTGCAGGACGACCACGTTCCGAGCAAATAGCTGTTGTCAGATCCAGGATCCTCCTCTTCATATGCAGCCTGGGAGGTACCAGCAACGAATGACCGGCAACCACATAGTCTCGCACCACCTGGTAGGTGCACATTTGCCATTCCAAGCACGTATAGCCTTGAACATTTGTTGCGACTAAGAGGAGGCCTGAACTTGGAACGTCCAGCCGATGAACGAATCCCCATCCGAATCCTGGCTCTTCTAGGGCATATCGACAACCAAGCTCACGTCGCAGGAATGAGGACAGCGTACGCAATCCCGACTGGCCCTGGCTATCCACCTCCCAACCAGGTGGCTTGAGCACAGTGCACATGCCGCGGAAGAGTCCAATGATGGTGGGCTGCTGCACCGTTTCTTTGCTGCGAGCGCTCGACGTACTGTGTTCGACTTCCTCTTTCGTTGGCAAAAGGCCGGCAGCTTGATCCATCCTTGCACCGACCTCGAGCGCAACATCGCGAAGGGTTCCGAGCACCGGGTGTCGCAAACCCAAGAATGTAAAGGACCAACTCAACGCACAAACATCCGTCAAGAAAGTCGAGGTCTGTGATGGCACTGGAGTCACGGGAGCTGGCGGAGCTGTCAACGTCAACAACTCAAAACCTCGGTTTGTCAATGCATACAAGAAGAGGTCCTCGGCCACAGACGGAGTTGCAAAGTCTCATGCCGTGTTGGCCACTGCCTGCAAGGTGAACTCTTGCATGGTATCCTCAGACCGCCTCGCAGTCGTGTTAAATATCAGCGGCTCCATGAACACCATGCTGGCCAGCCTCTATATTGTGTTTGCAAGGTTTTGGACATCGGGCCCACCGATCTTATCCTACACAGCACCTGTCATCACTTCAAGCCAGCTGTCATCAAGCATAGCTACCGTGGCACCTCACCGAAGAGCATTCGAGAGCTCCTGGGCGTCAAGCTCATGAATGCGTGGCTTGGAAGCATCCAACAGTACATCGAGAAGAGCTGCATCATAAACCGCTGGTGTTCCAAACTCCCGAGCCACGTTAGCTGCCTCCTGTGGTCCAAGAAGGTGCCTACAAGGAGGGCAAAGAACACCCTTGCCAGTTGCGGCCAAAAGCGGGCGGCCTTTCCGCTGCAAGCTGCTTGATGCCCATGCGACATTTGAGAGATTTTGCGGGTTGCGCTGGGGAGCTCTTTGCCGCGCGACCGTGGACGGTGCGGCAGGCAAAGCTCTGCACACAATCCCCGGCGTGCCAAGAGCCCAGAAAATGAGTGCGATGTCCTGGCACGGGGCTCCACCGGCTCCACCTTCAACTTCAGATGCTTCAGCCATTTCAGCACCTGTACCAAAGTCATCTCTTGCAGCCTCCGCCGCCCGGGCAATGCCTGTAAAAGGCGACTGGTGTCGGAGGGCCGAAGTCCCGTGGGTTCAAGCCATAAGTGCGGGGTGCCGTGGCCTGAACATTGCCAATCACCTGATGGATGCTGTGCCGGTGGCGTCTGAAGCTGGCTCGCTTCATTCAAGGATTCTCGTAGATCTCCGAGTCAGGATTGCGGGGTCTTGTGGAGTGAGTTCTGGCAGCCTGGTCGCTGTAGCAGTAATAGCTGTAGAAATCACAAACCAGAGCGGGGCATGCTGGATGAATGCCTTCCTGGGTGCCCACCCTGCATTCACAAGCTCCTGGACCGGCCACGATTGCAGCCCTTTAGACATTGACTCTGACACTGGTGCATGCAAGGCTCACTGGCCCTGTGTCACTGCCTTGGCCAGGCCCCAGCCGGCATTTGAGATGTTCTGAGGGTTGAAATGCTGTAGTTTGGCCAAGGATTCAATCGCTGGAGTGACAATCGGAGACCACTCCGAGTTGCGAAGAATCCTGCGTGTCTACAAAGTATTGCTCAGACCCTGTGGGCCAGATTGGCTGGAGCTCTGTTCCACCCCCATTGCGACGCGCGTCGCCGGAACTCCTCCTCGACAAAGCATCGAAGCCAAGGCCCAAAGAGAGTTCGAAAGCCATCGAGGACAGCGGTCACCGTCACTCAAGTGCTTTTCACAGGCATCTAAGAGAAGCTGAAATCGGCTGTCTTCCCGGATCTATGAGTTTGTGCACTTTGCCAGGCGGTTCAGGCATGTGGCAACATGCACTGCTCCGAGCTGTTTCTGGCCAACTTACACGGCCCTCAGGATGGAGTCAGCATCACTGAAGGATGCAATCTGAGAGTTCCACTATCGTCCCAAGCCATCTGGGGCATCTTTACGACGCAAGTTCTGGGTCTTCGAGGCCATGGCTTTCACTGCAGTCCCCACACATCCGTTCCCGTAGGATTGTAGTTTCTGGGAAAACTTGACAACGCAGTAGTTGTGACTAAACTATCACATAGTTGTGTCACACGCACGGAAGCCTTACTGGGGAGATTTGGGGACATGGTTGGAGATCTCTGGAGCAAACTCCAACGCAACAAAACAGTTCCAAACAAATTGAGACTCGAAAAGATCATGTTGTCTGCAAGGACACCAAAAGGTTTGGAGCACCTCCCTCGTACAGCGCTTGCAACAAGGCAAACTCTTGAAACACTGTAACACTAGGTTATCTCACCCTCGCACATTCTCTTTTCCCATTGCTGTCCGTCTTATTCAGTATGAGTGCTGCTGTTCTTCTTCTCCTTCTCCGCCTACTCTTTCCCTTTACCCGCCTTCTTCTTCTTCTTCGAATTCTCCTTACCTGTCCTCTTCGTATTCTGCTTCTTCTTCATCTTCCTCTCCTCTCGCTTCTGCCTGGTATTTCTACGGTTTGCCGCGCTCTGCATTTCGTCGTCCGCTCTCAGCTTTGCCTCTGTTTCCTCTCCTGCGAGCTGCAAAGAAGGAGCCCTGTCATCCCTGTCCACACCGGCCCAGCTCCCAAGTCTCGAACCCGTGGGGCTCCTACAGCTTGAAAGGGGCTTCCTTCCTCTCGCTCTCTTGCTCGTCTCCTCCGGCTCCTCCGGCTCCTCCTCCTCAGCTCTTTAGCTCTTTAGCTCTTTAGTATATGTTTGATAAGTCAAGAGGCTACAGTATTTCTTACCTTTCTTTCCTTTCCTTTCTTTTGTTCTTTTCTTCCTTTGTAGATTGGGAAGCGGTTTGCCTTTCTTGCTTCAGCGGGCAGGGGCCTGCGCTCTGGCGGGTGATGGAGGTCTTGCTAAGTAGTGCATTGGAAATTATGGCATTTCTAGGTTCGAGAAACTGACTAACATTCCGGAATTGGCCAATCACGCTCTGGATTCCCACTCTCGCAATCGACTTTCCTAGGGTCTACGTCTGTCTACGTCACTTCCATGCAATCTTGCCAACTAAGGGTCCAGATTGGAAACTTGTCTCACAAAACAAGCTCCAAAACTCCTGGTTTCCAACAAGCATACAGTAGGCTGGATTGGCCTGCTCGATCAAGAACGCTCCAAACCACGGCTGTGCTGATTAGAGCCTCGGTTTGTCAGCAATGTGGAAAAACGCATTGCTGCCAAGCATTGTGTTCTGACTCAAATTCACTCCAACATGCAACGACATCGAATCCCAGCGCCCTGTTTAAATAAGCGACTATCCGTACAATGTCCAAGTTGTTCCAGGTTGTGAAGTACCCCAGGACAGCCCGCATCTTGTCCACAAGGCTCTTTGCTTCCTGAGTGCCACACAGATCTGCATGTTTATGCAAAGTCGCGATGGGTCGGGTGACTGCGGAAAAAAAAGTCTTGCAAACTTCCAAGCTGCAAAATAAAACAGTTCGGCCTTGCTTCTGCCCTGCGAACCTCGTAGGCGAGTTGCTTCCATTCCTGCCGCATCGATCATTGCAGCTGATTGCCCTCTCGCTCTTCAGCCTTTGGGCTGCTCTCATATAGTCAAGAGATTCTCACCTGTGACTTTTTTTGGGCTCACTTGTGCGACCATAACCAGTCACACTTGCGACCGTTTCACCCCCAAGGGGAGGAGGGTGGGGGAGTTGGGATTTTTACTCGCTTGTATTTTTTTTGGCTCGCTTGTGACTTTTTCTTGCTTTCTCGCTTGTGGATCTTTTTTTGGAGGTTCTCGTTTGTTATGTTTCCTTGTCCGCAGCCAAAACCCTGCACAGGGCTCCAAAACCGTGCTGCTCGCTTGAATCTTCTTTGTGTTGTGAGGTTCTTCTGGATTCAGTGGACCACGTTATGGCTCTGATGCTCTGGTGCGAATAGACCACGAAATTTTCAACCCCTGCTAGGGCGCGAGCATCTTAGCGCGAGCCAGCTTTCCAGACTGGTAGCGAAAATAGGGCCAGCGATCGCACCACATGTCCTGTCCCACCCTCCGCCCTTTCCAAAGTCGGACGCAGTGTTCACATCCATTGATCCGAGTGTTCCGCCACGAAACCTGTCATACATTCACTTCTTCTCCCTCCTTGGCCAACGCGTTCGTCCCGATTAAAAGTCTTTCTTGTTCTTCTTGGCAGGGTGTGCTCGGAGATGTCATGGGAACCACGACGTGCTCCTCTCCTGCCTTCATCGTGGGCGCGCCTGGGTTCGCAGAGGATTTGCACAGCCTGTCTGCTCCTTTCCCGTGATTCGGCCGTTGGTCTCCGCGAGCGTGAGCACCACATTGCAATTCCTTCTTACCAAAACAGCTTCCGGCCGAACGCCCGACCCGCTTGCTTGCAGGCCGTCCACATCATCTTGCACGATCTTGCACGATCACTTCTTGCACGATCACAAAAGCGTCCGTACCATGGCCTCTGTCACCCAGTGTAAAGACCCGCTGGGAGCGCAAAAAAAACCGTGTCGGGAACTGTGGGTGGGCTGTTACACCCTTTTGGAACCCGGAACTTCTACATCCAGGCCTCGCGGAACTACAGCAAGGACCGGGGTTGTCTTCTGGGCTTGCGGGCTAATAAACCACAGCGACCCAGTATTTGTTTCGAGCAACCGTGCATCACCTGGAATACGTGGACGAGATGTGAACACGTGAATCTGTGGTGGTTTCGGTTCAATGCAGCGTGGTATGGCCGCATCTGCGGGGGTCTGCAAAAGAAGCCGGCTCCCGATCTTCCCAGCTCGTTCTTCAGGAACGCCGAAATCACAAGGGCAAATGTGTCAAGGTCGACGAAGCTTGAACGATAGCTTCAGGAAAATCCAAATTCTGCTAAGCGAGCGAACTGACTTGACACCTACTTCTGCATTCTTCGTTCTGAGAGTGTCAGCACACTGCCCTCTACAGGATGAATGTATCCTCATACAAGAAGAAGAGCTGGAAGATCACAAGCGCAACCTTGCGGGATTTATGGACTTGGCAATTCACAGCATGAATAGCAAGCACCTTTACCATCAGAGATGTAGTGTCACTATGTCCGCCGTGGCGCTCGGAACATCTGGAAAGCGAAGCCTTACGGGACAGTGATTGTTCAGCCCTGTCGGGGCACCACTATACAGCATGTGCACATGCGGCACATGGCTGTCAGAAGACCGATCACGTTGCTGAAATCCTCGGTTTCGTCTGCAGGGGGGCCAGGATCTGCACAGCTTGCTCGGCCAGTAATGCACCATCCGGCAAAGAACACCAAATAGATCAAGTATAGCACCAGTTCGAGACGAAATTGCCTCGCGTTTGTCGTGCAACAAAGCACGAGGCATGCTCAATTAAGGCTTATCTTCACGGACCTTTATGAAGACCGTGAAAGGGTCCGCCTTCGGCCCACTTTTGCCCATTGCTCTTCCAATAGGACGTGAACGAACTTCGTCCGCATTATTTCTTCTTGTTCTGACTCCTCGGGGCATCTGCATAATGGATTTACTTCCAGCAGGACATATAGTAAACATTCATGAGCTGTTTGATCGCTTGGCTCGCTGTCCTTCAGCGCGGGGACAAGGCCCACGTCATCATCAAGCGCACCACGCAGGTACCAGACGCGGATCTCCACGGGCCGCTCAGGCGTGTGGGTTTCCTGCGTAGCGTCACGGTGAAAATAGAGTGCTCACAATTGCTCAGCGCATGCCGCACGACGACTTGGTGCCCTCGACAAAGCGACGCTCCTCGGAGCTCGGCACCAAGCCTAGCAAAAAGCTGGGGATTGACATGGACTCACGACTCCTCCAGCAAGGACTCTATGCGACACACGTGGCTCACATGATTATTTCTGACGAAGATTCCTCTGAACTCAGGTGCTTCGGGCCGGTAGACTGGTGCACTGTAGGCTCGAATCATGAATTCGTTCTCCTGACCAAGTACAGCCGTGCACGACAGCAATCAAAGCAGATCAAAGCTGCAGTACGTGCACGTCTCCCGAGAGATTCCTTCAGCGCAGCCCGCGAGGGCAGAACTTTCAGCTTC